AAGAATGGACGAAAAGCTTGAGAGTCCACTTCACAATGTGAAGAAAAGTATTTTTGGTTCTGGTCATCTTCTGCTGTTCTCTGATTTAAAAAAAAAACTACACAGAAAATGCCTTTAAGATGCCACACAATTATTTATACAATTGTAGCTCAGTGGCTCCGGTGCTGGAGAGAGCACAGTCTCAGCCATACTCAAAAGGACTCCCAAATGGCTATTGTTCTCATGGAACAGTCACTTAGTCCAGGATGGGATGAGCAGCCATATCGGGAATTTAGGTTTCTTTCTTGGTGAGATGCTTCCCTACACGCTGCCTTAATTCAGGATTGACAGAAAAGCTGTTTCTAAGTAAGTAACTGTAGGTTGAAGTGAAACTTTATTTTTAGTTGCTTGACTCTACACTTGAGAAGGAAAGCATGCAGAACTCATTGCGCTTTAATTACGAATTTAACATTAGCCTGGCTATAGTCTTTGTGTATCAAGGATGTCTTGGCTATGAAGAAAAAGCATCAAGACCAAGACCAGATTGTCAGCAGGTCCTAGGAGTGTTCACACGAACGCAAACATCCTGCAATACTTGTTGTTGTTTGAGAGAGGGTCTCACATATCCCAGGCTGAGACTGAACTCCCTACATAGCGGAGGATGCCTTGAACTTCCAATCTTCTTGTCTCCGCCTACTAAATGCTGGGATTACAAATACACACAACCATAGCAAGCGTATGCGATGTGCAAGATCAAACCCGGGACTCCATGCACGGCAGGCAAACATTCTACTAGCTAAGCTACATCCCCAGTCCTACCTCCAAGATCTGAGTAAGAAATTATAGACCATTTTAGGGTAAAATCAAGATTGGGACTATTGGCCACTCACACAGTTATCAATATGATGCACAGTGACATTAAATGGTAGGAAGTCTTACGAGATACCTCAAAATGCTCCTAGTATGCACCCCTTGAATTTAATGTGGGTGAGAGTTGCTCAGGAGCACTTACCTAGCATGCTTAGGACCCTGGGTTCTATCAGCAACACTGGATGCAAGAGTCGCCTGAATATAAAGGGGCAGACACCTCCCTCTGAGGCTGTGATTCATTTTATCTGAGACTGTCCCAGGAAACAGCAGTGAACATATATATTGAATAATTCTCCTTTGGGGAGTGTGGAGTTTGAATAAGAATGGCTCCCATAGGCTCATATATTTGAATGCTTAGCCATCACAGAATGGCAATACTTGAAATGGAGTAGGAGGTGTGGCCTTGTTGAAGGAAGTGTGTCACTGGGGCTGGGCTTTGAGATTTCAAAAGCTCAAGCCGGGCCCAGAGCCTGTCTCTTCCTGTTGCCTGGGGATCCAGATGTAGAATTCTCAGCTAGTCTCCTGCAGCATAGCTGCCTGTGTGACTGCCATGGTGACAATGCACTAACACTTTGAAACTGTAGGTAAACCCCATTTAAACAATTTCTTTTATAAGAGTTGCTGTGGTGGTCATGCTGTTTCTTCATAGCAATAGAACAGTAGCTACGACAAGGGTTTATGGTAAATTTGTAAATATGACATTTTTAAAAATTTGATTGTAATACTTAACCACAACTGAACTTCCAGATTTTCTACACGTGGTTGAAGTGCCTTTACTCATCTTGTTGAGATTAATTCAGCTCAAGTTTTGAATAAGTCATTCTTTTCCTTAAATAGCCACTCCATCAACACCTGGATAAGAATGATAGAAAAGGTACGTTGTGGTAAAGTTGCATCATAGCCAGACACAGCTTGAAACATAGGAATCCGGCAGTGCTCTTTTCTGGATTAGTTTGTAAGTGTCAAACTGGCCTTTAGGTTGTGCCTTCCCCTGAGTGACTCCATTTTTACCAAGAACACTTGACCCATTTAGGATGAGTGCACAGATTGAGGCAAAAACTGACAAATAACTTACTCCTAAAAGCAAAAAGGTACTATATACAAGTTTCTCAAAGTAGGTTGGGAACATATAAGCATATTAAAACCATAATGGAAAAGACAAGCCCAAGAACTTAAAGAAAACAACCGACTAAAGACATATATAACCTGGACCTCCTAAACAGGACACAGGTGGGGCATGGTGGTACATACCTTTAATCCCATCACTTGAGGATCCCTCTGAGTTCAAGTCTAGATAGGGAATTCCAACCAGGGCTACCTGGTGAAATATAATCATAAAAAAGGGAGACCACCTAACATTGGGATGCCAAAGGCCCCACCAACTTGTCATCTGACTGCCTGGTGTGTGTGTGTGTGTGTGTGTGTGTGTGTGTGTGTGTGTGTGTGTGCTTGTCTGTTTGTCTGTCTGTATCTGTGTGTATCTGTGTCTTTGTGCCAACAGGCAAAGAGTTCCCAATAGTGTCCAGGCCTTCACCTCAGCTCCATCACCTCTGCTTAACATGACGTATTCAAATTGCTGTCTATCCATCTGCCCATCCATCTGTCTGGTCCTGGTCTTACACCTCACCTCCACAGTCCTGCCCCTCTACAACTTGACTGACCCCTGGGGCCTGGCTCTGAAACCCTGAGCCCAGCTGTCTAACTGGCTTCCTTAATGTTTTATCCAAGCATTACAATGGCTATCTTTGCCATCTGTATCTACCTCTGCCTTCAGTAAAAGATCTTTGCATTGCATGACTTCTTTAATTCTTTACACACACACACACACACACACACACACACACACACACAAATGCTTGCTAGTTTTTTGTCATCTAAGGAGAGAGAACCTTAGCTGAGAAGATGTCTCCACAAGATTGACCTACTGTAAGGAAGAATGTGGTACATTTTTTAAATTAATAATTGATTGAGTCATGGGAGGACTAGATGAGAATAAGAAAAAAGATACCACAATAGAGGAAGCCATTATGGGTTTAAAGAGAAATCTGGAACTAGGGAAATGTCAAGAGATCTACAAGGATGACCCCAACTAATAATATAAGCAATAGTGGAGAGGCTACCTTAAATGCCCTTCCCCAATAATGAGATTGATGACTACCTTATATGCCATCCTGGAGCCTTCATACAGTAGCTGATGGAAGCAGAGGCAGACACCCACAGCTAAACACTGAGCCAAATTCCTGGAATTCAGTTTCAGAGAGGGAGGAGTGATGAGCAAAGGAGTCAAGACCAGGCTAGAGAAACTCACAGAAACAACTGACCTGAATAAGGGGGAGCTCATGGACCCCAGACTGCTAACTGGAAAACCACCCCCTGAACATAAGTGTTACTTAGGAGACCTGCACAGTCTATGGGGTCTCTGACAGTGGAACCAGCATTTATCCCTAGTGCACAAATGGATTTTGGGAGCTCCATTCCCTATGGAGGGATACTATTTCTCTCCAGGTACACAGAGGAGGGCCTAGGTCCTCCCCCAAATGATGTGACAGACTTTTCTGACCCCCCCATGGAAGGCCTCGCTGTCCTTGGGGAGTGGAGGGGTGGGTGAGGGCATGGGAGGATGGGAGGGAGAGGGAGGGGGGGGAATTGATATGTAAAATGATTGTTTCTAAATGAAAAAAGGAGAAAAAATGATTGACGTGGGAGGGCCCAGATCATTGTGGGTAGTGCCATCCTTGGGCAGTTGGGTCTGGGTTTTATATAAAAACAATCCGAACAAAGCGTGAAAAACAAGACAGCAAGCAACACCCCTCCTTGGCCTCTGTTTCAGTTCCCATCTCCAGGTGCTGACTAAGTTCCTGCCCTCACTTCCCTTCTAGATTCTTTGAAGCTGACAACACGAGCTGTGGAAGGTGAAATCAGAGAACTGTGCAAGAACAAAATGGAATTAGCCTTGAATGACAAATTACAGAATTAAGTATCAAAATTATGTTGGAAACATTTAAAATAAAATTTTCATTCTCCATCCCCAAATAAAAACATTATCACTATTATTTACTATTTTAATTGTTCAAGGCAGGCAGACAATGTAAGACTCTCAAGCAAACTGACAATTTGGATACATACTATTCTTCCTGAGGCTGAGGGCATGACTCAGTGTTAAGAGTCTTGGCTAGAATGTGTGAGGCCCTGGGATTAAAAGTATGTGCCACCACTGCCCGGCTTGCTCAATAGTCTTTAAAAAGTATTTTCCCCTGAAAAGAGCCAGATTTGAAATCCCCTGTTTGCAACTAAAAATCCCATGAAGAATGGAGGAAATAGAATAATATTGGCATTGGACTTTTCTTTCTTTCTTCCTCCCTTCCTCCCCCTCATCTCTTTCTTTCCTTCTTTCTTTTCCAGAGACAGGGTTTCTCTGTATTTTTTTGGAGCCTGTCCTGGAACTCACTCTGTAAACCAGGCTGGCCTCCAACCCACAGAGATCTGCCTGTCTCTGCTTCCCCAGTGCTGGGATTAAAGACGTGCGCCACCACTACCCGGAGGACCAAGTGATCTTGCAGAGACTCCCCAGACGTTATTACTGTGTCCATTCCCTAAATAATGGCAGCACTATTTGCACCTTGTGCTGTGGACTGGGGGGCAGGGGGATTAAGACAAAAAAAGAAAACCGTCAGAACTCTGCAGAGCAGCTGGTATGAGAAACACGAGGAAGATGAGGTGACCTTGTAAAAATCCCAAGTCGAAGGTACTGTCTCCCAGCTTGCCATTCGTGGGACTGTTGAAGGCAGAGGAATGGCCCCAACTCTTGTTCTGAAAATTGAATGATGAGCTGTTTTCATGTGGCAAGCTTATTGAACTCAAAAGTTTATCCCGTCAACACTAACAGAGGAGTATGCAGTGATGTGAACCGGTGCCCACCCCACACACAGCCCCAGAGCATGTGCCCACACTGCCGTTTGCAGCGGGGTGGAAGGGCTGAAGCGTGGTGGCATATAATTCTCCAGCTGTCCCCTGCAACTTAAGATGCTGTTACACTGCATTAGCAGCCCCTCCGTCTCTACCATCCCCAGTGTTCTCACAAGAGACAGACGTTAGCGTAGGCTGCAACGTGTGTGGCTGGGAGGAAATGACGCACCCCACTTCACACCGCAATGCGTACACCCCAAATTTCGACGGTAAGGGTGAAGTGTGCAAGCAATGTGATAGGACATCTATCTCATAGGATGTCACATGTGTGCGCATGTCTTGCTACACTGTGGTTTCCATGAGAGCGGAGTGTCTAAATCTGTGTCCCCTGCTTTTCCGAGGTGTCAAGTCAAGCTTCCACAGCAGGAAAAGACGGCTGTGTAGAAGCTGTGTGGGAAGAGAATGTATGTAATGTGGGATGCGTTGTTATTTTAACCATATCTCTGCTTGTTCTTAGCAGTGAGTATTCCAGGGATGAAACAGGCTTCTGACTAATCTGATGTGTGTGTAATGCAGAAATATTAAACTACAGAAAATATGGGTGTCCTATGATATTTTATTGAAAGAGAAATCGCTTACTTGAAAAGCCAAGAAAGTCGAGAACCAGAGGTCTCCACGCCAATCTCCAGGTCAAAACCGAAACCCAAAGAGAGAGAGTCTCCTCCCCCAGCTCTATTTACCCCCGTATGTTCTACATACCTGTGAACACACCCACACAGGAGTGGTTAGCACTAAGGATACATAAAACATCTCCGTGTGTGTGTGTGTGTGTGTGTGTGTGTGTGTGTGTGTGTGTGTGTGTGACACTGGGTATCTTCTTCTGTCTCATTGGGACAGGGTCTACCAATTCAGCTGGCTGGCCCCCGAGCACTGGAAATCTTCCTGTCTGTGCCTCTACAGGATTCGTTAAAGACACACAGCACTGTGCATGGCACCTTACATGAGTGCTGGGACCCTAAACTCAGGTCCGTGTGCTTGTGTGGCTGAAGCTTTACCAGTTGTGGCTTAAATGAGATGTCCCCATGCCTCTTTGAATACATTGACCCAGTGAAGCCACAGCTTTAGGAGGAGTGGCTTTCCTGGGGCAGGCCTTTGAGGGTTTAAAGACTTTCACCGTTTCTAGTTTGTTCTCTCTCTGCTTCTTGAAGATGTGATCCTTCAATTTCCTGCTCTAGCCACCATGCCTGCTGCTGCTTGCTGTCACCTTTCCCCACCATGACAACTCTTATGTTCTGGAAACGTAAGGCCAAATCAACTCGTTCTTCTACAGACTGCCATGATCACGGTGTTTTACCACAACAATAGAAAAGTAACTAATAACCAGCCGAGTCACCTCCTAGCCCCTGCATTGCTTTTGGTTTCCAGACAAAAGAGGACTAGAGTGTAAGCCTCATCTTAGTGCAGACTATCTCCCTCGATGACTCTCTGAATATAGGGGGGTTATTTATGGGCAGAAGAATTTGGGCTAGGCATTGTTGAATTTCCTCACATAAATCAACGGAGGGTATAGTTTGTTTTATGATAGGACAGGATGTGAAGCAATGTTTTAGTCTTGAGAATGATTTCAGTGATATGTAGGGCTTTTGAAATGTCTGTGATCCTCGAATATCATCTCTGCATTTGAAGCAGTATTTCAAAGGCACTGCTCAGGCCTTTCAGAATGAATAGTTTCTATCTAAATTGTCAATTTATTTGTGAGTCTGCCATCTTGTGCCTACTTTGCATAATTAATATTGTAAGCAATATTAATGATGTTCTTTGATATTGGACTTGGGAAGGAAAATTTAATTTTAAGTGTATTCTGCAAATAATTTGATAGTTGATTCTGTAAATGTCATTTTAAATGTACTTATAATTGTTTTCCAAACAATTCCTCTGGCAATAAGACACATTATATGCAAATAATTTCTTTATCTTCTTGGATTAAATAAAACAACATATTTATCTCTGTCTTTGTATTTTTCTTGCTGTGACTCACTTTGCCAACAAAGTGAATTTTAAAAATAAATAATAAGCTGGGCAGTGGTGGTGCACATCTTTAATCCCAGCACTTGGGAGTCAGAGGCAGGTGGATCCCTGTGAGTTCAAGGCTAGCCTGGTCTACAGAATAACTTGCAAGACAGCCAAGACTGTTACACAGAGAAACTCTGTCTCAAAAAAATAAAACAACAACAAAAAGGTAAATAAAATAATAAATTCTGATGACCTTTTGTTTTCTCAGTAAAAAAGGAAAAAAATGATGAATGCAAACTTAAGAATATAAAATGCCTGAAAGTATCTTATTAAAATTCCAGAAGATAGACAAATGGTAGTTATTTCTTAGGACTGCCATAGCAACCAGTGGCTAAACTTAGCGGAAACAAGGTCTCATAGCTCTCAAAACTAAATCTAAAATCAGGTATCTGTCCGCTTCCCTCCTCCACCCCCTGCCCTGGTGTGTGTCTGTGTGTCTGTCTCTCTGAAAACTGAACAGGATTCCTTCATACCTCATCCTGGTTTTTGGTAGTTTGTAACACCCTTTGAAATGTCTTACTTTGTGGATACATCTCAACAACCTGTTCCTTCCCATGGTCATCTCTCTACAGGGACACTTGCTATACTGGAGTAGGGGTCTACCCCATTCCACTATGACTTCCCATTGGCTAATTACATTGGCAATGAACCTATTTTTAAGTCCTGTCGCATTCTGAAATACTGGTAGTTAGGACTTGAATATATACTCTTTTTGAAAGGGTCTGGTCATGGTAATATGAGTCTTTAATCCCAAAACTCAGGAGATAGAGGCAAGAGGAGCTCTGTGAGTTCAACATCAGTTTGATCCACATAGTGAGATCTAGGCCAGCTGGGACTACATTGGGATACCCTATCTTTAAAAAAAAGGAAAGGAAGGACAGAAGAAAACAAAAAGGCATGAATGAATTTATAAAAACCATTTTGCTATCAAAATTTGACAAATATTTGGGACTGGAAAGATAGTTCAGAGATTAAGAGCACTGGCTGCTCTTCCAGAGGACCTGGGTTTAATTCCCAACACACACCATCTCTAACTCCAGTTCCAGGGACCTGACACCCTCTCTGGCTTGTGTAGGCAAAAAAAATGCATAGAAATAAATACAGATAAAACCCTCATACACATAAAATAGAATAATTTTAAAAATTAACAAGTATTTGCATAGCATTGTTAACTTCAATTATGTAACTAAAAGTGTTTCTTCCTGGTGGTGGTGGTGCATCTCTTTAATCCTAGAATTCAGGAGGCAGAGACAGGCAGATGTCGGTGAGTTTAAGGCCAGCCTGCTTTAGATAGTGAATTCCAAGACATTCAGGGCTACACAGAGAAAACCTGTCTTGAAAATACAAAAACAAGCAAACAAATAAAAAATAAAGTATTTCTTCTTCAGAAGAAAGTTATAATCCAGATGGTGCTTAACCTTGCTAACACTGTGACCCTTTAATACAGTTCCTCATGTTGTGGTGACCCCCCAACCATAAAATAGTTTTCATTGCTACTTCATAACTGTATTGGTGCTGCTGTTATGAACCACAATGTAAATGTCTGTGTTCTCCAGTGGTCTTAGATGATTCCTGTGAAACAGTTGTTTGACCCCCCCCCAAAAGGGATCGGGACCCACACGTTGAGAACCACTGCTCTAGTAATTTGAGGAGAAAGTTTGGCTATGGTTCAACAAACTCCAGATAAGAGGCATCAAAACACAGGCAGAGTAAAGGTGAAGGAGCAGGGAGTGATGAGAGCCACCGTTTCAAAATCAAAGGTTACACCTTCAAGCAACTCGACAGAACACTCCATAGGCAAAACATATGTGTCTATACTCTTCTCTGTTCATTATGGCGTCATCATCTGTAAACATTTAAAAGTAGAAAAACATACTGGTGCATACGTTTCCTGATTGCCATGAACCAAACTGTGTTCTCCTACTAAGCATATACTGAAGTCCTACTTCCTGATAAGGCAGTATTTGGCTGAGGGACCATTGAGAGGAAATTAAGGTCAGGAATGGGGGAGGGATTATTGTCCTATGGAGTGATGGGGAAGTCCTGTGTATATGTCAATAAAGCACTCTTGGACAATAGGGAAGCAAGATAGGTAGGACTAGGAGACCAGGAGGACTCTGGGAAGGAGAAACACAGAGAGTCAGTCATCATGTGGCCTGCCAGAGAAGTAAGATGTCTGTCCGGTAAGAGAAATACTTAAATGGGTTAAATACTTAAGTCAGAGCTAGCCAGTAAGAAACAAGCAAGGCCAACAGCTTCATAATTAATGCAGCGTCTTGTGTGTTATTTGGGGACTACAACTCGGCAGAGCCCAGGCAACTGGCGGGGGGGGGAAAAACCAAAGCGGCTGGCAAGGAAAAGGCTTCTCTCTACAATGGAGAATACATGCAAAAGCATTTATATCCTCTCTCCCTCTCTTTCTCTTCTCTTCCCTCTTTTCCTCTCTTCCCCCTTGTGAAGATACTGCAAGAGGGCGGATGCCAGCAAGAGAGGCCTTCTCATCCCTGGCTACGGCCTGAACCAATTCTGACCTTCTGGCCCTCGCTGAGTAAATACATTTCTACTGTTTAAGCCATCTTGCTAACAGTGTTTGTTACGTCAGCCTTTCCTAGATAAGTACCGTATCTGCACACTGTTTTCCCGTGACTAAGCAATGCAAGAGCAGAGCCCAAGGTCAGTGATGGTGAGGGAAAGAGGTCCTCGGGTTTGCCATGAGTAGGGTGGGCAGAGGACTTTGCCTACTGATGATGAATACAGTGGCTTGGCCTTATCTTTCACAGAAAAATACAGTTTCTACTGGCTAGTGCATAGTAATTTTTTCCCTCTCTTTTCTTCTTAACATAATTCATTTGTTTGGTTCTTTGGGAATTTCACATCATGCACCCCAGTCCCACCCATTTCCCAGTCCCTCCATGTCTGTTTCTACTCCTGTAGCTCCCCAAATAAAATAGGTAACAAGACTTTCACTCCTCCATGTCACATGTCACATGTTCACTGCCATGAGTTATTGGTCTGGTTTAAGGCTTCTTGCTTCTGGTACACCATCAATACCGGACCCTCACTGACACTTCTCTAGGATAGCTTGCTGTTGCCCTCAGTCATGGACATCCTGAGGCTATAGCTCCACAGGACCAGTCCCTTCCCAAACTCTAGCAGTTCATAGATGGGGTAGGTGCTGCGGTAAGCCAATTCAAAACCCTGGGTGTGGGTCAGGGTGTTAGCTGAGTTGGCCAATCTGGGCCTCAGCTGGGACTACCCACCCCAGGTGAGGGTTGGGGTTACCTCTCCAGCATGCATGTTGAGGGGTGGGGCCAGTTCTCCCACTGTATAGGCCAACAAAGGTCAAGGCCAGCTCTCCCATGCCCACACCACTGTGTTGGTGCCAGTTGTAGGGGCAGAGCTCCGGCTGAGGTAGCCAGTGAAGGGCAGGACCAGTTCTCCAGAGCCCATGCCACTGGGACCAGCTCTCTATGGCTCCTGGTGGTAACTTCAACACAGAGCCAAGCAGAAGTATGGCCACGGACCTAGATGTGACCTTTGGTCACAGCCTGAGCCAGGACATCACCATGACCCCGGTTGACAGCACAGGCCACCCAGATCAGCATGGCCCTGGTGACAGCTTGGCCCTCAGACACCAACATGGTCTCAGGTGTCAGCTCAGACCATGGGCATCTGCATGGCCCTTGGTGATAACATAGGACATGGATTAACCCAGCTGGGCCACATTATTTTGTTTTTGTTTGCTGAGACAGGGTCAACACATAGCTAAGGTTAGACTTGAACTATTGATCTTCTCACTCCGCCACCTGAGTGATGGTATTAAAGGCTTGTACCATCATACCTATCTAGTTATTTTTTAGCTTGTTTATTGCATGATCTTTGTCTACAGCATTGCTATCCAGTTCTCCCATGATAAAATGATAAAAGGGTTTGAGGTTAGTAAGTATTAAATCCATTGTCCCCTGGATCCTGCTGACTACATGATTACTGGGAATTTTTTATGTTTTAGGAGGTTGTATTTCAGTAGCTGGGGTAAATTTCAGGGCCAGCTATTGTGTTGGGGTTGTTTGAGGTGAAAGAGGACAGAGCAGGGTAGCTGCCACTCATCAGAATGAAGAACTCAGATGGCCTTGGCAAGAGTAAGAGACTTTTTCAGCAGACAGGCTTAATTTTTATTTAACCTTGCAGAGTACTATTCGTGTTTCATTGACTACAAGCAGGGTAGCAGCCACTTGTCAGTTTTCTTTTTAAATAGAAGAGTATGAGACTTTCTGCGTTCTAGATAAAACAATGGATAGGAGGGTCTTTTTTTTCCATTTGTTCGTTGGTTTTGTTTTAAATCCCCTTAGCTTGATTGTGGCATAAAGCCAAGGGTCAGGGGGTAGCAAACCAATCTCTGACTTTATCCATCAGCCATCCCAGCCCATCTCCTGCCAGGCCATCCTGGAGATAGCTTTTAATTCTAGAAACATTAGAATATATCTATGGTGTGTGTGTGTGTGTGTGTGTGTGTGTGTGTGTGTGTGTGTGTGTGTACACCCAGGACACAGATTTTTATGTTGCCCCCTAATTAATGAGGGAATTGGGAAAATGCTAAAGCTGATTGAAATAAAGAGTCAAAGGCTGGAAAGCTATGTGGAATAAAGTAATATTCAGCTGGTTTGTGGCACACACAATCCCAGTAGTTGGGAGGCAGAGGCAAACAGATTTCGGAGTTCAAGGCCAGCCTGGTCTACAGAGTGGGTTCCAGGACAGCCAGGACTATACAGAGAAACCCTGTCTTGAAAAACAAAAAAACAAAACAACCTAAAAATAAAGTATCATTCAAGTGAATTTACAAATGGTAGAGAACTGGATTTTTATACAGGAACAGGTAGATAGGAAATGCAGGAGAGTCCTCAAGCAGTCAGAATCACTTACATGCTTCTAGATGTAGTAAGTAGAGTAATGTCAGGGGCCTGGGGTAAATCGCTTCACCTAAGCAGTCCATTGCGAGGACCACAAGGCTTTTTGCTTCTCTGTGTGCTACTCCCTGGAGCCCCGCCCAACGCGCCTCTCAGACTGGACTCGGACAAACAGCGAGCAGTGTCACTCTTTACATCATAAGTCTGGCGGGTACTATAGGGAAAAACCAAGAAGGAAGTGGAGGAGGTACTAGGGGAAGAGGAAGAGGAATGTGTGGCGGAAAAAGTTCTTGATCGGCGAGTTGTCAAGGGCAAAGTGGAGTATCTTCTAAAGCGGAAGGGCTCTCAAATGAGGACAACGCATGGGAGCCAGAAGAGAACCTGGGTTGCCCTGACCTTATTGCTGAGTTTCTACAGCCACAGAAAACAGCCCACGAGACAGATAAATCAGAGGGAGGCAAGCGCAAAGCCGATTCTGATTCTGAGGATAAGGGAGAGGAAAGCAAACCAAAGAAGAAAGAAAGAAGAGTCAGAAAAGCCACGAGGCTTTGCCAGGGGTTTGGAGCCTGAGCCGATTATTGGTGCTACTGACTCCAGTGGAGAACTCCATGTTCCTGATGAAATGGAAAAACTCTGCTGAGGCTGACCTGGTCCCTGCTGCCAAGGAAGCCAATGTCAAGTGCCCATAGGCTGTCATATCTTCCATGAGGAAAGGCTAACGTGGCATTCCTGCCACTCAGAGAATGATGACAAAAAAGACGACAAGAACTAGCCCTCTTGAGTACCAGCCTCCGTTATACCTTTGTGGGTTTCAAGTGGGGAGGGAAGGAGTTCTGTTTGTCTTGACACCATAGAAGTGGTTTGAGAAGATGTCCTTTGAAGAGCCAGCATAGTTTCTGGGCCTTGCTGCAGCCCCAAATCATTTCAAGCTGTATAGTTTGCACACCCATCCCAGTGGAGGGGAAAGGTGTACGTGTTTCATGCAGCCTGTTCTGAGCTTTGCTAAGAGAGCAGAGGGCCTTCCATGAAGGACAAAACCTGCAGAACTGGGGTGTGGGAGAGCAAAGATGCAGTCATCTTCAAAGAGCATCTCCACAACCCACAGACTTCTTCCCAAGTGTTAACTGCCTTTTTACAGCCTAGCACGTGTGTAGTTTTTGGCTATTGGGGTGTGGTGGGGGTTGGGCAGGGAGGAAGGGAGATGGGTGGAATGATTTTGGTTAAAATTTGGGGCCTGATTAAAGACATAGTGAAACAGTAAGAAGAACAGCTAACTAGTCAATCCGTTCTATGTCAATATTTTGCCTTTTCAAAAAATTTTATTGGCACCATTAATGAGGTTTGAGAGACTGTTAAAAAAATCAGTGAATGCTGAAATCTAAAGCCAAGATGCTCCCTACCTGAGCTCATTGTGGCCCACAAAGGACAAAGTCAGTTCCCTGAGTTCCCAAAGCTGCCGTTTGAAGATGGAAACTGACTGAGGAGAGAAAGTTTTATTGGAGAGTATACACAGACAGACTGTTCTGCCTTTAGAGGTGATAATTCCTGAAACTGGAGAAAAAATAATTTTTTTCCAGCTATGAAGTGACAGATATCAGTTTGACCATCTAAGCCACTGGCTCAAGTATTGCAGAAGGGCCTATGGGAGATTGGAGCAGAGAGCATGTGCTCTTAGAGCTGAAACTCTTGGAACTTTTGGTTTTTGTTTTGGGGTTTTTGTTTTTGTTTTCAGCTTTGAACCCTGAAACTGCTCTTGGTAGCTTCAGTTACTGACAGCACAAAATTCCATTGAGTCAATTCAAGGGTTGAATGACTTCACAAACTCTGGTCTCAGGAGATTAACTTTCATACTGGGTATAGTTCACTTGAGAATACAAAATCTTTAAATTAACTGATGTCCAAAATACTGTCTTGAATCATGAGATTCATAAGTTTTTAGTATTGTCTAGACCTGCATCTAGAACTACATTGTAAAATATTTTAAAGCATGTGTTAGATGTGAAAATTTTGTTCAAATGTAAACTTCAGACCATATTGTCAGTTTTTGTCTTAATAAAACTATATATTTATATATAAAGAAAAGTAGAGTAATGTCACCCCAGTCCTAGAACATATAGGTTCCACTGCAAAGGGGAGTTATGGCTGGGGTTGAAATGACATCCCCTAAAGCCTCAGCCTCCCATTGAATGTTTGCTTTGAATAGTGACAGTAGACATCATTTATTAAGACCCCCACACCAAGCTACCTTTGCAGACCCCATGGAGCTTACTTTTTCAGGCTGCTCATATAAGTAGGGATGTATTCCAGCGAAGTGAATGACTCAGCACTTAGCAGAGATTATTAATCACTGCTGGGAGTAGGAAGCAGCAAATTGATGACTTGACGGTTCAGTAGAAGCTGCCTAAAAAACTGGAGAGAGCCAAGTCATCAATAACTCTGGAATCAGTTCTTGCTCCCTCAGCCAGTTTCTAGGCAAAAAAGTAACGTTCTGTTGTGAACAAACTGCTTTAGTTTGTGCAGTGTGTTATGCCAAGAGCTTCTTACTTTCAATTAACCCAATCTTAGTAACCCTTAGGAATTGCCTCTAAGCCTGCAGGGAGGCTTAAGTAGTATATAATTGGTGGACATTGAAAAACAAACTATAACAAAGCACACGCTAAAGAAAAAAATGTATAGTTTTTGCCTCCTCTGGTACCTGTACCTTTTTTCATAGCAACACTCTTGAAATTCTGGTGAGAATAATTCCACTCATTTCCCTCTGGTGGGGGAATGATCCAAACTTTGTTGACTATATTTTAATTTTAGGACAAATGGCTGACTTAGGAATTTTGTAAAAACAAATTTGGTGCCATGAAATGAAGCCCGGATGGTCTTATAAAAACACCAGGTAAAGACACTTTCTGTGAGCTGGTCTTTGCTGGGATGGTGGAACATGGGCTAATCTGTGGGAGAAACCAGTTTGACAATGAAATCAGTTTAGGGGGAAGCAGAGGAGAACAGGTTTCTTTGATGTTGTTTGAACTCTTGAATCTAGTTGTGACTCAAGAAGGGGTCATCTGTCTCTGTTTTGTTTCACAGTTGCTCTACTACTGAGTCATTGATTTCTCATGTGTTGGTTTAGGTTTAATTTCTGTTATTGAAATCTTCTTTGTTGCAGCAATTTCTCCTTACCCATGGAGGACATATTCCAAGGCACTCAGTGCAGGCCTAGAACTGCAATTTTAGTGAAACCTATATATATATTGCATTTCTTCTCCTGTATATACATACCTGTGATTAAGTTTAAGTCATAAAGCAGGCACTGTAAAATATTGAGAATAGAACAATCGCAACATAAGTTATGTGTATATGTTCATAAGTTAGATGTATATATTCTCTCAAACTATCCTCGTGTTCTGTGCCTATGTCTCATGTGCCTTGAGGATAATATAAAGGCAGGCCCAGTGTGGTGGGCCATTGCCTCTCATCCCAGCACTTGGGAAGCAAAAGCAGGTGGATCTTTGTGAGTTCTAGATTAGCCAGGGCTGCAGAGTCAGACCTTGAGAGAGAGAGAGAGAGAGAGAGAGAGAGAGAGAGAGAGAGAGAGAGAGAGAGAGAGAGAGAGAGAGAGAGAGAGAAGCCTATGTCAAGAGACAAAGATGAAACGAGGTGGATGACATATCGATGCATTACGATCAGTATTAGACTTGTATAGACATGACAATATGACAGGAAGGTCCTCAGCTTTGTTTTGAATTGAGATGACAAAAGCACCGCCACATCACTCAAAACAGTGAACAATTTAAAACTGATAACCTCCCCCACCCCAGGAGATTTCCTTCCCTTTTGAAAACAAAATTCCACATAGCCCAGGCTGGTCTCAAATTCACCATGTAGCTAAGGATGACCTTAAACTCCGATCCACTGCCCGTATCACTCAAGAATGGAATTACTGATGTGCATCAAAACACCCAGTTTCTCAGTTTCATTCTTTTTCCTTTTCTTCCTTTTTTTTCTATTTTGGCTATAAATTGACTTGCAGCTACACTGAGCGAAACCTTAGATAAGGGAACACTATTGTATTGTCAGTCAGGAGAGTTCCAAGACCATAAGGTCTACTGAAAAAAATAAAAATTAAAAGAAGATGTCTAGGCCAGCAAGATGGCTCAGCAATAAGAGCACTTGCTGCCAAGCCTAACTGTTGTTACGGGTTTGGGATTGCTCAGAGATCCACTTTGACCATGTATAAATTTTAATAGGAAGAGGCTTTTTGTTTTGGTTTGTTGTTGTTGGTTTTTTTTTTTTGAGAAAGGGTTCTTAGTGCAGTCTTGGCATTCCTGGAACTCACTCTGTAGACCAGGTTGGCCTTGAATTCACGGAGACCCACCAGCCTCAGCCTCAGCCTCCTGAGTTCTGGGATTAAAAATGTGCCCCATAACTGCCCCAGGAAGAAGAGGTTTTTTTACTTAGGTACTGGCACTCAAACATGGCACCAGGGTTGGACCTGAAAGTGTTCCCAAGATGCAGCTCTGAGCCATATCCACCAAGGGTTATAAAAGCAAAACCCACAAGATTACATGTACTTTGCTTAAGCATAGGCAGGGTCTTATTTTAACATACATGTTGTGTAGTTGTCCCTTTGGGACAGAGTTTACTTATACAAAAACAGAAGTAGCAGTTCATATTATGACCTATTATATTTCAAGAACAGCAAAATTTACCAGATCAGTCAATTTAAGAATAGTTTTCAATATCTGGGAAAAAGGGGGAGTGGGCTGACAGGTTATAGCTGTACAAGCTGGGGAGGTTACATGCTAATGCAATTTGTGAGATAGATATATATATATATATATATATGTGTGTGTGTGTGTGTGTGTGTGTGTGTGTGTGTGTGTGTGATGTTAACCATCAGAGTCTGAACCTGGTGTTCACAATATAGATCACCAACTCTTGCAAGTTGTCTTCTGACCTCCATTCACATGCCATGGCATGCCTGCCCTGACTCATAAATCAGTGCAATTAAAATAATTTTTGAAGCTGGAGGGAGGGAGGGGGAGGGAAAGGGAGAGAGACAGAGACAAAGAGAAAGAAACACTGTCTTGGCAAAATCTTAGTATCTTAGCAAAGCAGTTTCAGCTCTGATTGTGGAATTAGTGTATTTTTAAGGGTATTTTCTACTGTCTCTAAATGTCTTGAAAACATTATAATAACACCTGCTCTTACAGTTTTGTTTGAAGCTTGAGGAAGGAGTTAGAAATGGACATCATTTGCCTTTGTGATCCCCATGTTCTAGAAGGAGACAAGAACACAAGGAGAAAACCCAGCTGTTTCTAAGAGTGGGAAGGCTAGAGGTCTAACTTTAGTATAAATTAGATGCATTGTTATCTACTTCTGCACTACTTAATTCTCTGTTGTTTAATAAAGGTAACAGAAGAAAAAGTTTATTTGGGTTTATGGTTCTAGAGAAATGAGAGCCCATCGTGGCAGGAAAGTGAAGCCATGACAGCTGGAATAGCAAACTGAGAGATCACATCTTGAGCCACAAGCAGGAATCAGAGAGAGAGAGAGAGAGAGAGAGAGAGACAGACAGACAGACAGACAGACAGACAGAGACACACAGAGACACACAGAGACAGACACACACAGAGAGAGACAGAGACAGAGACAGAGACACACAGAGACAGACACAGAGAGAGAGCAACTGGGAATGGCCTGAGTTTATCAAATCTTAAACTCCATCTGCAGTGACAAACTTCCTCCAACAAGACTGCACCTCCTAAACCTCCCCAAACA